CTTATATATACATATGATAATGATGCGTAGTAATAACTTTTCGTAGTATTTTTATTAAAAATAAGAAAAGACTCATTAAGTATTGCGTTATATTTTCTTCAACAATTATATTTTTTGGGGTACTAGCAGCCCGCCCTGGTTTTGACCAGGTTGAATAATTATCTATATTATGTGTCAGCCCCGCCACCACACACGCACCGCCAACTGCCGCCATAGTTATTTTGCCGCGCGAGAATTTTTATATAAAAATACTAAATTCTATATGATAAACAAGAGAAACAATTTGCCACACATTCTTTTCATGGAAATTAAAGTACTTAATGATTAAGCGCACACTCTCAAGACTCAAGAGGCACTACTTTTTCCGACTTAGTTGACGGATATCATCGTAACTTATACTCGTAGACATAATATATGTAACATTAAATATGTGTCCATCTGGAATAATGTACCTTTGAAATGTTCCCGGAGATTGCCCTCCACATATACCTATACAAACTCACACTCTCTCTATAAAGAGAGAGTGCGAATGTTGTTTGGGTACGGGTCAGCTAGTCTACTATAAAACAGACTAGCTGACCCGTGCCCACTTTGCTGGGCGTCAAACATTTTTACTTGTGATGAAATTATCTTGTATGGTTCTTAGTACTGAATGCTTGGGATTTATTTTCGGAATTGATTGACAAATGTTGTTATTTCACATTAAAAAATATTATTAATCACAGTCAAATATAGCGTATGTCACTCAGGAATAATGTAGTTTTCTACTGGTCAAAGAATTTTTAAAATCGGTTCAGTATGTAGTTGTAGAAATTACTTCCTACAAACAAAGTCACAAACTTACAAATTTTACCTCTTTATAATATTAGTATAGATAAATTATTTCTCTGTATGACATACTAGAAGTGGTCAAAATATTCTAATATTGATTAATATAAATTGCTTAATGTTAAAATAATATAACTTGATTAATATACTTCAAAACCTCGTTTTTCTAGTGATGGTAAGCGCGACTGCTTTTCATGAGGTCGCGGGTTCGAATCCAATGTCAAGAAATTCTCAGTAACAGCCCGGAGTAAAGAAGTTGGCGGTATTTCACACCAGTGTCTGGGTAAGCACGTGAAAATGTTGGTCCTGCGTCTGATCTCTCTCCGGTCGTGTCGGATTGCCATCCCATCGAACTATGGAGAGTGAGGAAATAGAGAATGCACTTGTGTTTGCGCACATTCTCGTGGCCTGTAATCCTGTGCTGTGCAGGCTGCTAATCTCCGTTGAGATTTACCGCTATGATGAAAATTCGGTCAGGAGGACATTATTATTTGATTATACAAACTTAAAAGATATCAAATAAAAAGTTATATATTCTTACATGATCGTATTATTCGGAAACCGTAGACACATCCGCAAGTCATAATTTAACTGAACACAACATCACAAATTCCCTTATTTATCTGTGGTAGGTACTATATAGACTCACATCACATTTAGCAAATGATTTTTAACACTAATAATTTAATGTTATTATCTACATTTAGACGGATTATACAAAAAATCACTTTAAGACAAAAAAAATTAGTTTCAAATTTCAATGTAATATGTTGGAAAACCACTTTAAATAAATCCAAGACTACATATAAAGTCACATACACATCAAGTTCTTAATCAAATATTTTTACGTTTACTCAACACTGCTAAATAACATCACACAGTATTTTTTTTTAATTTATTAACGTTACAGTGTCACAGTGTAGTGTAATCACAGATTATAACAAAGTAAATTAAAGAACATTTTCAAAAAACACGGCATGTGTCCGTGTCAAACCACAAACGACTATACAAGGAAAACGAAATATATTTTATTCAAGCTAATCATTCAAATACCGGGAGAATATTCGTCATACCCGGTAAAGAAAAAATATGCGGGCGATGTACGGTCTTTTCATTACGTTCACAGATACAGATATGTATTACGTCATTGCTTTGCTTTGCCTTAACCGCAACATTAAATATAATAAAACTTGATAGCCAAAAATTTTGTTAGTTATAGTTTAGGCACTTTTGCTTTGTATTTTTATTTAGGTACAGGTGATCACGTGAAAACGCATTTTTAAAGGCGGCCTATTCCATTATCTAACCCGTTTGTCATCTTTACTTGTAGAAATATACATCAACGCATTTCAACCCACAGGATGCCAATAAAATCTAGCTGACTGTGGAGAAACCATGCCAAAAATATCCACGATTAACCAAACATTAATGGATGAAAGCAATCATACAATATATCATCTGAAGTATTCATATACATGTCACTCTAGAGCTAGGCGCCATGGGCAGAGATACCTTTACCTTTAAGTATTTAAAATAACAATGGTATTACTATCTCTCAACCCCTGCCTTTTAGGTTATTCCCACAATACAACAACTTAATACCAACTTGACTCAATGTAAGGGAATGAAATGTGAGCTCTATTAAGTCGACATTCCGTTCTATGTTATAGTTTTAATAAATAATGCACTATAGTACTAACTTATAAGGTTTTCGTATAACTTAAATGTTGTACAAAATTATCGTCACAAGAATAGCAACCCTGAAACAGTTCGTAGCCTGAATGTAATATCAATTTCACTACCGTAGCGTTACAGCGTATTAAAATCTACTGCTGAACGTAGGCCTCCCCCATAAATTGCCTCATAGGGGGGATATTTGCCATAGTTGCCGCGCTTGGCAAGCGGGTTGGCAACCGCAGATTTTTATTTTTAGCCCTTATAAAGAAGACGCTGCTGCTGTTCATCCCCTGATTTGTTCCCCTCATTTACCTATTTATGTGATAGAGTCATGCTGCAGCTATATTAGTAGTATAGTTGTAGCACGAATGGGTCGGCTCGACCGGGGAATGACCACGCTCTCACAGAATACCAGCGTAAAATAGCAGCTTAACGCTGCTGTGTTTCGTATAGTGACTTTAGAGAACCAGAGACCTATTTTACTGGAGCATTCTATCGTAGTCCTCACGGCTGACAAAGCATCTGCATTTTGATTCTTTATTGAGGATAGATGTGGATATCTATGGGTCACAGCAACCACTTACGATCAGGTGAACTGTGTGCTCGTTTGTCACCCTATCCAATAAAAAAAAACCTAAGTTATAGTTTAAATTACTGCTTTAATAATAAGCTGCTATTTTACGCTGGTATTCTGTGAGAGCGTGGTTCTACCCCGGTCGAGCCGACCCATTCGTGCTACAACTATAGATATTAATATATGTAATTGCAGCATGGCTCTACCACGTAATCTTAGTTCTCAGAGATGACAACACAACTGTAGCCAAAATAAATGCCAAATATTATGAAAGTTGATTTATTTTCTATCATTTGCTGTATGGAAATGATAACTTAATAATAAAATGCATGAAATATTTTAATCTGTTCTTTGTAGGTATATTATAGTTTTCTCGTATCGATTTGCTTTATATTATTCAAACTCTAAGAACTCTGTCTTATTTTTATTTAACTGGTTTGTAAATACATTCCATTCATCCATCCATCAGGGGCAAGCCATGACTTATTCTGCCACCAGGGCGGCGCCACTAGAAAGTGAAGTATAATATTTTCTGACAGATAATAAATAAACCAAACCACAGATATTCATAAAAGTAGAAAAATAAAAAAAAGTTAAAAGTATGCAAAAAATTAAAGAGCAAACCACTGACGCATCGTTTTGTGTTAATATAATACTCTAGAAACTGATAAACTTCTCAATTAAATTACATTGTGTAACAAAAAAAAAACTTTAGCTCAGTGTCAATTAGCGGCATCTGGTGAGCAGAAAATTATTAGCCCTCATTGAGCATGCGGCTCGCCTGATGATAAGTGACTACCGCCGCCCATGACCAACGGCAACACCAGTCGAATTGCAGATGCGTTGCCGGCCTTTTAAAAAATACTAGGCTCTTTTCATGAAGGTCCCTAAATCGTACGGGTCGGGAAAAATCGCTGGTGGTAGTCGATTACATGGGGAAATTGTGCTAGGAAGAAAACTTCTTTTAAATCGCACACCGCCAATCATCCAGATGGTATGTATGGTAGCTAGAGTTTTGTCGCGATGTGTGATGGTGAAATTGTGGCAAATAATTAGACTTTGTTTGAAGATGTTCCAGTGCATCAGTTATTTCCATCATTTTATATTTGATCGTGGTAAAACCATGACTCCAGCACAAATGGATCATCTGAACTGGGGAAGGAACCCACAGAGTACTAGCGTAAAATAGCAGCATAACGCTGTGTTTCGTATGGTGACCGTAGAGAACCAGAGAGATAGATTTTTGAGGTAAAATTTATTTGGGCGCAAATTGAGGGTAGCTCAAATCTTTTTTCGGACGTAAGTAAGTTTCATGAAAATGTATAATTCGATAATTCAGTTTCCGTATTTAGAAAGGCCGCTGGCATATACAATTTTGAGACATAATAAGTTATACTTAAATTAATTGTTTTCTATTTGTATCTAGTTCAATAATAAGTAATAATAATTATTAGTCTATTAATAAGGAAAAAATATAATAATATAAAAATATAAACAAACAAGAAAAAGCGTTTAAGGTAATTCGCACTCATTTTTTACTTGTAATAATGCATTGCATCTTAGTCTTCGAGGATGACAACGCATTGGCATTTTGATTCTTAATGGAGGATAGAATTATGGTGTCTCGTTTTTCACTCATACTTCTATACAAAAACGTGGACACGGCCGTGTGTTTTACGTGAACACACGTGTACCTACGTAACAAAACGATCTCAACATGGCGGCGATCACCCCACCGTCGCGCGCTTTGTAGTAAAATTTTGGGTGTAGATGATAGCTATGTAGCTGCAACACCAAACTGTTAGTCCCGATTTTGTTATCATCAGTTTTCAGAATTGCCTGTCACTATGGAAGCATTTAAAGGCGTATGTTTCTGTTACTATTGAAGAGAGTACAACGGCACGTGTTTAAAGGAACCCACCTTTGTTCTTGGTCCTGTTGGCGTGTCGCGACACGGGCGGCGTGCGGCCGAGGCTCTCCAGGTCCGTGTTGCTGCTCTGGTAATGCTGGAGCGGGTACTCGTCCAATGTTGGAGGACCCTGGCCAATATGTATATTAATTATAAAACTCCTTTATGAGACTTTATGTAATACTTAAGTTTATATTGCGATAAAACAGGCACCGAATGTTAGTTAATATTCTCATGTGCTATATGTACAAATATATTTCTTTTAGGTTAGGTACCCTAGTTACCTTAGCTAGTGTCGATGGGTAGATTACATAATTAATTAATATTTATTGGGTAATAAGGACATTGTATATTGGTGCAGTGTTTGATATAGTTGAGACCTCCTATTAAGTATTTCAAATACTTGCCCCAGAACCCCAGAAGACCACACTCTTTCATAGTTTTATTCTATTATACACTTATTACCAATAATTTATTACTTCTTAAATAAATAAAAAATAACAATTATTATTATTATTTTCATTTACAATTATATATTTATACAGCCCAACCAGATGAGAAAACTATATAGATACCCCACATAATAATTAATTATATCTAAAAGTTTTTTTTTTGTTTTAGTGACAAACGAATTGTGACAAACGGGCACACAATTCACCTGATCCATAGACGTCTCCAATTATTCTCGATTAAGAATCAAAATACTGAGGACTAAGATAGAATGTCTCGTTATTAGTAAATAAAAAGTGTATCCGGTTCTTTACACTCACCATACGAAACACAGCAGCATTAAGCTGCTATTTCACGCTGGTATTTTGTGCGAGTGTGGTCCTACCCCAGTCGAGCCGACCCATTCGTGCTACAATCATAATATAGCTGCAGCATGGCTCTATCACGTATAATATAATCACGTTGGACGGCTCCGTGGCGCAGTGGCTTAGCAATGAGTTGTTGCGCTGGGGGCCGCGGGTTCGAATCTCGCACGGAACAAGTATTTGTATGGCCTACAAATAATTGTTCCGGGTCTGGATGTTTGTCCTCGTGCAATTTATGTTTGTAAACTGCCGCCACGACACGGGAGAAAAGATACATACCGAATGGTAGTTAATATTCTAATTTGTTATCTATACTATTAAGGTAGATACTTCAGCTCGTGGTCAATAGGGAAATACATATTTGGGATCGTAGTAGTTGGTAATTTTCTAAAAGAAGACGGCACTCAATTCGACTGTATGTTTTTTTATGTGTGTTACCTCATAACTTTTTACTGGGTGAATCGATTTCGATGATTCTTTTTTTGTTTGAAAGCTGGTGCTTCTCATGCGGTCCCGTGTAAATTTGATCAAGATCTGACTAATAGTTTTAGAGTTATTCTTAACAACTTATATTGAAGTCGGCTATACAAAATTTTTAATTTTAAATTATATTAATAACGTCGTTATTTAGAGTAAGTCATAAGTTATTTCAAATAAGCCTTAAATTTAAAAAAAAAATATCTAAAGATACTACTATAGGAAATTCGTACTATGTGCGCAGGATAAGAATGGAATTTGGTACTGGCAACTTTACCGCTCTTCTTTTAATACATACATATGTATGGCTTCAATAGCCGCGGTTTTAATATTTATCATTTTATTTATTAAAAAAATTTGCTTCTACACTAAAATTAAAATAAATATTTATTCGATGCAGTTTTAATACGATAATCTTGTGCACGGAGTACATAAAACGCGATAAGCAAAGATTAAAATCTAGTGCCCGAAAGTAGATCTAGATTCTAGTGACTCGAAGTGTGTTCAGAATTGAAATAATATTGTCTCTTAATTTAGAGTTTAGACCATCGTTCGACCTCAATTCTACCTATTTTTATATAGGTATTAAGTTAGAAAGATTAGATTGACTACTTATATCCCAAAAAAAGATAATGGTATCTAATTCAACCGCGAAACTCTTCAACACTTTTTATCTATTTCTCATTATATGTACAACTAAATTACATTTTAATTTACAGGTCACTTAATTTTTACAAAAATGAAAAATCAAACGTAACCAAACAAACAAAATACTCACCAGCTTGTATATGATACTCTGAATAATTTTCAGCAGGGTTTTCGCTTTCTCCTCAGTCTCATCTTGCAGCAGATACGTGTCGTAGCCCACCGTGAGCATGAAGGAGCGCGCGTACCTGAAATTATATCGCCTTTAGTAAATCACACATTTACCACGTAGCGACGGTGTAAGTATATCCACTACCCCATATAATTCCGTGAGTGTCCCAAGAGGGGACAGAGGGAAACAAATAAGGAGCTTTATTTATAGTTATAACGACTAAAAATAAAAAACTGGGGTTGCAAATCCATTTAATTTTTTATCAAACAAAACTAGCTGTTGCCCGCGACTTCATCCGCGCGTAATTTATTACGATTGGATTTCATGGGTTTTAATTTTTTGCGGGAGACCCTAATTTATTTTCCAAAATAAAAGTAGTCTAAGTTACTTCTTATAAAATCAGATATCTGCCAGTGAAAGTCCGATCAAAATCAGTCCAGCCGTTTCGGAGATTAGCCGGAACAAACAGACAGACAGACAAAAATATTTTAAAAATCGTGTTTTTGTTATAAGTACCGTATATACTTTCATATGCAGTAAAAAAACTGTTATTTCGACATTACAAACAAACACTTCAATTTTATTTATTTGTATAGATTTCGTTGAAGATAGATGATACTATTTCTAATACGTCATAAGTTAAATTAAATATAAATTAAATCATTGCCGGCGTCTGTCTGTCTTTCTGGGCATCTTCAATGCAAGAGTTAATAGGCTTTCCTTACGCTAAGACTACGTACTTACCACCAGGTGGTATTGCGGTCAAGCCCTGACTATTAAGGTTAAAAAAACACTCGGAAAAACATTACCCTCGAGCTGGGCCAGTTGAGTATTTAACCCAAGAAATATATTTGCGGTACATTAAAGTTAGCTCACCTTCTGGTGTGAGTCTGTATGCAGGGCAGTACGTGAGCGTTCCGCAGAGGCAGGATTAGTTCGGCGCGTGGTGCGGTCGGACTGGGCGGGGTGCCGGCCTTGCGGATTTTCTGAAACAACGATAATATTGACCTCCTGTCCGAGTTTCGGTGACGGCGCGGTGGTCAGCCTCAGCGTGGCAACTATGGCAAACATCCCTCCTAGGCAATATATGGGTGAGGTTGATGTTCAGCCGTTGACTTTTGACGAGTTGTAGTCGACGGATAGATTGAATCAGACAGAATTTCTTAGATATATAGATAGATATAAAATTCTTTAGAGCTATGGGTAGAGCCGCAACAGATAAAACTAACTCATTTACACATATTATTCAAAACATATAATATAATTGCTATATGTTAGTTTATACATATATATATATATATATATATATATACTTATACACACATATATACATTTACATCACATCACATACATAAATAAAAATATTCTATTAATTGTTAGTGGCAAAAAAAATCATTTATAAAAAGTTTTTTTTATAGATAAGGTTTTGAACGTGGTAGAGCCATGCTGCAGCTATATTAATAGTATAGTTGTAGCACGAATGGATCGGCTCGACCGGGGAAGGACCACGCTCATACAGAATACCAGCGTAAAATAAGAGCTTAACGCTGCTGTGTTTCGTATGGTGAGTGTAGAGAACCGGATACCCTTTTTATTGGAAAGGAGGCATTCCATCTTAGTCCTCACGTGTGGCAACACATCTGCATTTTGATCCGCAAACGAGGATAGATGTAGATGTCTTTGAGCCTCAGCATGCACTTACCATCAGGTGGACTGTGTGCTCGTTTGTCACCCTAATTCTATTAAAAAAAAATAAGGGTGACAAACGAGCACACAGTCCGCCTGATAGTAAGTGGATACTGTGGCCCATAGACAGCTACATACATCTTCGTTTGCGAATTAAAAAGCAGGTGCGTTGTCACCCGTGAGGACTAAGATGGAATGCGTCTTTTCCAGTAAAAAGGATCTCCGGTTCTCTACACTCACCATACGAAACACAGCAGCATTAAGTTGTTATTTTGCGCTGGTATTCTGTGAGAGCGTGGTCCTTCCGCGGTCGAGCCGACCCATTCGTGCTACAACTATACTATTAATATAGCTCATTATCAGCTAAAAGTCCACTGCTAGACATAGGACTCACACATTTAGGGGTAGGATTTACCTCAACCGGCACGCTTGGCAGCCGGATTGACGATGGCAGTAGGCTTATGGTGGTATCGTTGCCGTGTGAGCGTAAACAATCTGTCTTTATTAATTGTGTAGTTGTAGCACGAATGGGTCGGCTCGACCGGGAAATGTTTCATATTGCGAGTGTAGACAACCGGAGACCCTTTTTACTGGAAAAGAGGCATTCCATCTTAGTCCTCGCGGCTGACAACGCATCTACATTTTGATTCGCAAACGAGGACAGATGTAGATGTTTATGGCCACAGCAACCACTTACCATCAGGTTAACTGTGTGCTCGCTTGCCACCCTTATCCTATAAAAAAACCATTCCACGGATGTCGTAAGAGACGACTGTGCGATTTCCCAGAAAAATATTACAGATGGTAAGTGGATGCATTGGCCAATAGACATCTACATCTACCCTCGGTTAAGAATCAAAATGCAGATGCGTTGCCATCCGTGAGGACTAAGATGGAATTTCTGTTTGAAAGCTGGGGCTCCTCATGTCGTCTCATATAAATTTGATCAAAGTCTGTCTTTGCGTTATCCTTAATAATTTATATTGAAGTCGGTTCTACGTTTTTTTTCTTAATTTTACCACATGTTACAACATTAATTTACAATATATTATGTTGTACAATTAATAGAATAGAATCATTTTTATTCAATATAGATTATAGTACATAATACTTATTAAAAGTCATTTTTTACTTTTAACATTGGTTCGCAAAAAAAAGCCTCTGCCCTGGGAAGAACCAGCAAGAAGCCCTGCGGGACTTTTTTTTTAAAAAGCACAATTCACAATATAATATTTATATATATATGTATATATATATATATATATATATATATATATATATATATATATATATATATATATATATATATACAATTATTATGAAAACAATTTAGAAACAGCATGGTAGTGATCACCTCATTCCCAGGGGGTATATTTTCTGGGAATTTGTTGTAAAAGCGTTTTATTGCCCCATGAAGGAATTACTGACCCTTTGGATTCGAGTAACTGGTATAACTAACTTGTGCTTGTTCCTAGTATTTACAGACTGTACATCACTATGTTTAATAAAACTATTTTTGTTTTTGTGTACATACTATAATAGAAGTAGCTAAACTATCTTGGTTCTCAGGGGTAAAAACGCATTCAAGGATATTATACTCATCTTTACCACCGACTATTATTATACAACGAATAATATATTTGTACCCATTTACTGATAAAATAAAATTATGAAGTGTAGTGGCGGTGTAAGAATACATAATTAACTCATATCGTCACGTGTGTATCGTAAGAGGCGACAGAGGGAAACTGAAACATATGATGGACAGCGGCATCTCCCTGATGACAATTCAAGATAATAAAAAAAAACTACGGTAGACCACCCGCTCGCCAAGCGTGTCAAATATGGCAAAATCCCCCCAATGAGGCAATCTATGGGGGACGTCTATGTTCAGCAGTGGACTTTTATAGGCTCTATCGAATGGATGGATGGATTTTTTTTAATTTGCAGTCTCCTTCACTTGTGAATAAATCTACTCACGGTCGCCTGATAAGTCCTTTGATCCTTATAAAAGTAGAGCGCCGTGTGTGTTAGTATCATGTAGCACTCGATCCAGTTCTTCTTGCTCTTTTTACCGCTCTCTGAATACTTCGTCCGCTTCACCAGCCGCTCATCCACCACTGAACTCGCCGACTGCACTGGACCTTCGACTGTCGAACGGTCGTATGCCTGAAATAAAAGAATATATTGCAAAATTTTAGTAACACGTAATATTCTAGTAAACTGCGTTTACGTCGTAGAGCCATGCTGCAGCTATATTATAGTTGTAACACGAATTGGTCGGCTCGACCGGGGAAGGACCACGCTCTCACAGAACACCAGCGTAAAACAGCAGCTTAGTGCTGGTGTTTCGTATGGTGAGTGCAGAGAACCGGAGACTTGTTACTGGAAACGAGGCAATCCATCTTAGTCTTGACGGGTGACAACGCATCTCCATTTTGATTCTTAATCGAACATAAATGTAGACGTCTATGGGCCACAACATCCAATTACCATCAGGTGGAATGTGTGCTCGTTTGTCACCCTAATTAAGAAAAAAACTAAGGGGTAGGACTCCTTTTCGATTTAGGATTTCCATCCTTAGAATCTGTTTAGTCTGTTTTAGTCTGTTTGTTTAGTCTGTTTAAGTACTACACTTAATAACTGTTGTTTTGCTGCCAAATAATTTACAACTTTTGTGTAACGGTCAGAATATATAGAGTCAGTATAATCACAGGCTGTGAGCTTCTATCTCAGTCTTCAGAGGTGACAACGCATCTGCAGCCTTCTCTATTTGAAGTTGCTTGCGAGTGTCAATAGGTCAATGTCAAAAAAACTGTCACTTCACATTTATAAAAAAAAAACTAACCAAGTGTGACTCGTGATTATTACACATTCTTTTTTTTTTAAGAAGAGGCCCATGTTCGGCTACTATTACCGGCTTACAAAGAAGAATAATAAGATGAAAAGGCGGCAATATTTCATTATGTTCTCTTGTCGAATTTTTGCAATAATTTGCTATAGCCGAGCGGGCTTTACTCGTTTTTGAACGTGAACATGCACATTGCGATAGTGTGCGTGTCTGACGTAGTTGCGAGCATAGATAATAATATAAGGATGTTTGTTACTCTTTCACGCAAAAACTACTGAATGGATTTTAATGAAACTACAATAATATAGTTCATACATCAGAATAACACATAAACTTTAATTCATAAAGATATTGTGTAAATTGGCCAAAATAATAAATGTTAAGTAAGTCTGAAAAAAATCTGTCACCTGCGAGCTATTTTGGCCGTGAACACGCATCACGCATCACCTGTGAACCGATTTGAATGGGACTTTCACTGGCAGATAGCTGATGTTATAAGGAGTACCTTAGGCTACTTTTATTTAAGGATTTCCGCGCAAAAAAAATTCCACACGAGCGAAATCGCGGGGAACAGCTAGTATACTATATACTTAGGGAATTTGCTTTTGCTAGCATGCCGTCGCGCTTATGGTTTCGCGCACACTTTGACACGTATAAAGTAACGTGTTTACGAAAGTAAAGCGCGCTGACCTTCGTGAATTGCAAGAACTATTAGAATATATTCCACTCGCGTTATAAGAACAGTCATCCTAGATTTAGTGGTCGGTGGCTTATTTTTTTAAGTAGTGGAGCCACGCTGCAACTTTTGGAGACCCATTTGAAACGAGGCATTCCATCATAGTTCTCATTGTTGACAACGCATCTGCATTTTGTTTCTTAATTGAGGATAGATGTATATGTCTATGGGTCACAGCAACTACTTACCATCAGGTTGACTGTGTGCTCGTTTGTCACCCTAAATATAATATATAAAAAATATTGTAGTACAATAAGTAAATTAAATACGACGATTATCTCTATTTGATGTGTTAACATACCTCTGGCGGAGGCAGCACTCTTCTCGGTGCTGGCACTGGGGAGCGTTTGTGAGCCACCATCGACCTGGACTTCCTGTTTCTTGCATAACTGGGCTCCCTCTCTCTAACCTCGATGTCGAGGCTGTCCCCTGACGAAGAGGGAGGTAGGTGCAGGTGGTTGGGGCGTAGGTTCGCAACTATTAGGTTTTCCGTTGAACCACCTGGAAAAATTTTAATATTTATTTACGTAGATTTTCATAAACTAACAGTCTGTATATATTCTATTGCTGGATGCAGGGTCCAGGCAGTTCGGTCGCTAGAACAAAGATAAATGTGGATGTCTATGGGTCACAGAAACCACTTATCATCAGGTGAACTGTGTGCTCGTTTGTCACTCTAATCCTATAAAAAATATTAATATGTATTATTATGAAACTTTCATAATAATACATATTAGTATATCTGAGTGCTGCATTCTGTAACATTATCTCCTATTCTCTTCCTGAATGTACCGTACGAGTGCACTTTTCATCTAAGCAAAAAAGTATGACAGAGTGCGTCTGTGTGTGCCCGTATAATTGCGGCAGTATGATATCAAAAAGTCGAAGCTTCCGGCAAGAAACGGAAGTTGACGCCATGATCGTTTTTGCCAGAATGACATCATCATATTATAAACAGGAACATTGAACTAAGGTGTTTACTACTGTAGTATTCAGGAAGAGTGCCTTTTATTTTTTTATAACGTGCCAGAATTGGCGAAACAGAACATACTTAAACACCTTGATGTCTGTCTGTCTCTCTGTCTGTGCACAGATGTTTTTCTCACAGAGTCAGACTTATTTCTATGTATGTAATTACTCTAAACTTATTTCATGTAGATTAATGAAATTTGGCATAGTTATAATATTCGTTTATCCAAACACAGACGTGAATAATTGAGATTCTAAGAAACATTTAATTGAAATGTCACATTATTAAGATATTAGAAAGTAATGTGGGATGTCCAACAAAAGTTATTTGGAACACTATTATAGAAATGAGTAATCGATTGTTTTGTGTTTAATTTAATTTATTTATTTAAACTTTTATGCACAAAAGAAAAATCGTACATATGGCGGACTTAATGCCTTAAGGCATTCTCTCCCAGTCAACCATTAGGCTAAGCAGAGATCAATATATGGGAGGTAGTGCAGCAAAAGTTAACTAATAATGAGAAAAAAAGGTAACGAAGTTCGAATAAACCAGAATAAACTAGAAGATATTATATACATATATATATATATATATATATACATATATCTGTGCCATGATAAATAAGGAAAATATGTGACGATAGGATCGTTCTTTAGGAGAAAGCGTTAATTCACAATAATGCTTCACGCTGTACCCCGCTGTAGCTTAAAAAATATAGCTTATAAATTACGAATATAGAGAATAATATAGTTTGGATGACGCGCGGTTGTAGCACGATTGGGACGACTCGACCTAACATGGACGACTGGAACTACGATCTCACAGAATATCAACATTTCACGCAGATGCAGGATGCATCTGCATGCTGCTGTCTTTCTTACAGTGAGGTTAGGTAGGAGGCATTACATATTAGCCCTTAGGGGTGACAACGTACTTGCATTTTGGGTCTTAGTCGAGGATACATGTAGTCGTCCATGGGCGGAAATATTTCCTTATCATTAGGTGAATTGGGTGCTCGCTTGTCACCCTTATTTTATAAAAAAATATATAAAGACTGGCAATTACATCAAGTCATACAGCCTATGTTTTTTTTTTATATCGAATGACGGTTACAAACGAGCATATAGTGCACCTGACGGTAAGTGGTTGCTGTGGCTCATAGACATCTATATCAATCTTCGGTTGCGAATTAAAATGCAGATGCGTTGTCAGCCGTGAGAACTAAGATAGAATGCCTCCTTTCCAGTAAAAAGGGTATCCGGTTCTCTACACTCACCATACGAAACACAGCAACGTTAAGCTGCTATTTTACGCTCGTATTCTGTGAGAACGTGGTCCTTCCCCGGTCGAGCGGACCCATTCGTGCTACAACTATACTATCAATATAGATGCAGCATGGCTTTACCACGTATAAATGTAATGTATGGTGCCGTGGTAGCTCAGATGGTTAACGCTCGTTTTTAATGCAACCTGGGGCTCGATCCCCGCCGATGATAATTTAAAAAGTACTCGGCGGTGAAGGAAAACATCGTAAGGAAACTGCATGTCTGAGAAATAAGAAAAAAATATTTCGAAGACACTCAATGGGTCAGCGCGTTGGACTTTTCCTTGCCCTAAAACCCACTTAGGAATGAGAGGAGGCCTGTGCCCAGTAGTGGGACGTATATAGGCTGTAACTTTAACTTTTAACGACACATATCCATTAAAATCTGCTGAGTAGAAGCTAAAAAGAATGCATACAAGTGGTAAAATTTAAAATTTAGTACAACCGACTTCAATATAAATAAAATGAGAACATCATCAATGTAGTCGAAGTCAATTAAATACGCATTATTAAGGATAACTAAAAAACTACTAACTAACTAACTAACTGGTCAGATCTTGATCAAATTTATATGGGACCACGTGAAAAGCACCAAAATCGGTTCACCTAGAAAAAAGTTCTGAGGTAACACACAAAAAAAATACAGCCGATTTAAGAACCTCTTCCTTTTTTTAAGTCCGTTGAAAAGTATACAAAAAGTTATCAGAAACAGTATTCAAAGGTATAGAAATAACTTTACTTCACAAAACTCGACCATAAAAAAATTAAATTAAATTAAATTAAAATTTTAATGGCAAATTGTATTTGGCTTTATTACCTCTAATTGACACGCGCATCGGTAAAGCGGGGTCTTTGACAATATCCTTACTCCCCGACCAATGCAGAGGTAATAAAACCACATAAAATTTGCCATTAACATTTTATTTTCTACGTGGTATTATATTCTATACGTGGTAGAGCCATGCTGCAGCTATATTGGTAGTATAGTTGTAGCACGAATGGGTCAGCTCGACCGGGGAAGGACCACGCTCTCACAGAATACCAGCGTGAAATAGCAGCTTGACGCTGCTGTGTTTCGTATGGTGAGTGTAGAGAACCGAAGACCTTTTACTGGAAATGAGGCATTCCGTCTTAGTCCTCACGGGTGACAACACATCTGCATTTTGATTTGTAATAGAGGATAATTGTAGATGTCTATGGGCCGCAGCAACCACTTACCATCAGGTGGACTGTGTGCTCGTTTGTCACCGTTTACTATAAAAAAAATTTATTTAATTTAACTTATTTTTTTATGGTCGAGTTTTGTGAAGATAAGTTATTTCTATAGGATTGAATACTGATTCTGATAACGCAGGGTTTTTGTTACATGTTATATAAACCATAACCATTTGTATTTGCCCCGGTCGAATAAAAACAGGAATTTCTCTTACCCAATTTCTTGTTGATTCTCACGAAGGGCGGGCTCTCCGACGTGACCTTCCCGTACCCTCGGTCCAGATGACTGCTCCGATCGGACGCTGGACTCCATTCTTTCGCGGATTCCTACGACAAAGAGTTGAAAATTTAATAACGAAAACTATTCTATTCTATTGTACCAAAGAAAAAGTATGTTTTATTTTTCATTGCGTCGCTACTGGACACAATTTTCCGTCTAAATATTTTTTTAACTTTCCTAATTTGAAAGTTACAAAAAGGTCCCATTTTCGAAAGACCAAAATTCAATATAATATATTATGTACTACTTGAAGTCTATAGACACATAAGAACGCACGTAAAAACGCGCACACACACACGCGTTTATATGCGTACGTGTGAGTGAGTGCGCTCGAAATTTTCTTTAGAAGAAAAATAATACTTCTTAAAACTAAAAATAAATTATTTCTACATAATTTAATAGCAAATATGCTTGTGTGCGCGTGTGCGTGTGTGCGTATGCGTGTGTGTGTGTGTATGTGTGCGTGTGTGATGTGTGTGTGTGTGTCTTTTCTCGCGCAAAGGCTAAGTATAACCATTCAGCGAGGAAACGCAGCCAGCGTTATTTCGCGGGACGTAGGACTGTAGGAATGTATGATAATTTAAGTTTATAGTTTTAATTTTTTTTATAATGTGTGTGTTTTTAATACTTATTGTATATATTTCAATGTTATGTGACCAATTGCTATGTATGCATTAAATAAAATGTGTACAAAAGAAATAATTTCTACATAAATAAATAGAAATCGGGTCTTTAACTCTGCGATACACTTTGTCCCTTGTGTATGTCACTTTTGTACTTACTTTAAAAGACAAAAGGTGTCCTTTAGTCCGATTTATTTTTAATTAAGAAACTGAATCGATTAAGTTATATTATTTTTTTAAATTGTAATGTTTCTTAACGAGCTCTTGTCGCTGCAAACGATCTCTAAGAATTAAAATTCTCGGACGGACTCTCTAATTGAGTTCTAAATACGAGTGAGTGGTAAGTTTTTGCTCGAACAAGAACGCAAAAAGGGTCGTTATCGGCTTAATGAATTCATCCAGCCCGCACACTCAATAACGCCGACGCATAAGGAAAAAAGAGCATAGAGCCATCCGGCCGCTCTGGAGCCCGGACTGTATAACAGACCTATAATATAGAAAATAGGGTTGCCATGATCTCTGATTAAAAAACGGATAATTGAAATAATTTCTTGAGTATCGTTTCGATTAATTTAAATACCAACTTCGACTCAATTTTTTTGTAGAATGAGGGTGACAAACGAGCACACAGTCCACCTGATGGTAAGTGCATGCTGAGGCTCAAAGACATCTACATCTATCCTCGTTTGCGGATCAAAATGCAGATGCGTTGCCACCCGTGACGACGAAGATGGAATGCCGCTTTTCCAGTAAAAAGGGTCTCCGGTTCTCTACACTCACCACACGTGAGTATTATATAATAATCAATGTGTACATAAGTATTATGTAATAATCAATATTGAATAAAAAATTATTCTATTCTATTATATACGAAACACAGCAGTGTCAAGCTGCCATTTTACGCTGGTATTCTGTGAGAGCGTCCTTACCCGGTCGAGCCGACCCATTCGTGCTATAACTATACTACTAATATAGCTGCAGCACGACTCTACCATGTATAAAAAATTACCACTGGTTCGAAATAAAACCTCTGTCCTGGGAAGAACCAGCAAGAAACCCAGCGTGACTTTTTTTCTATAAATAACAGCTTACACCTATGTATGTTACACAATTAACTACACAAAACCAATTAGAAATAGCTTGGTAGCGATCACATCATTCCCAGGGGTTATTATCATCCATAAATTCCTTAATTAATATAATAACCCTTTTACACAAACTTTGTATACTCAAGCAGCCCCGGTGGTGAAACGTTACAAGAAAATGTGACGTTTTTGTTTCTTAATACCGCATTAAAGTTATCCACTATGTCGATAAAGAAGTTTCGCTTAATATTATATAGGTATACAAGTTAAAATTAAAAACTTTAAAAATAAACACAAATATATTAAACTAAAATTAAAACTTCCGGGATTCCGTTTATGGAAGCGCATTGATTTTTGCACTACAGATAATAAATACAAATTGCACAGATTATATAACCATGCCGGAACCCGCCTACGCGCCATTCATATACGGATCTTTATCGGCGGATGTGACGTATATTCGGATTTATTTTTGCTTGACAAGTTTACTGGTGGGTCAACAAAGTACAAAGGAAACTACTTGGCTTAGTGCTCTATATATATATTCGATGCCGACGACGTAAGTTTCATTTTATACATTATGTTCACAATTTTTTTTATTAAGTAGGTTATAAGGTTATTATCATCATTCATCATTACTGCCCTTCACAAGTACACTGCTGAACATCCTTATCCTTAAATTCGTAATAAAAAAATATTGAGTGTCACTTATCAGGATAAAAACTATCCTATCTCACAAGTTGGATCAAACTGCACAGTGTGTGCAAAATTTCATTGAAATCAGTTCAGTAGTTTAGGAGTTCATCGCGGACAAACAACGTGACTCGAAATTTTTATATATAAAGATAGATATATGTGTACACACACATGTGTATATATATATATATATATATATATATATATATATATATATATATATATATATATATAGTATAAATAAATAAATAAACAGCCAAGGAATGCCACAAAGCACGGACTTGAGACACCTGCATCCATCGACGTCCTGCATGTTTCACCAGGTCGCCACTCCAAACAGAAACATTTGGTTAAGTTCAGGAATCAAAACAGTAAGCGAGAATTTTTAATATTACGAAAACGCGATAAAATTCCTGACGGTGACCTTTCCCCATCATTTTGACATTTTTTTTCTCACGTAATTTGTTTTTATTTATGACAGATTAATAGTAACTACACGGACAATATCTTTTTATTAGATGGTGCTATACGAAATGTCTAAATAATGGAGGGCGAAATAGTGAAATTTCACATAACAACATGGATGCCGAGTTTTGCTACAATCGCAAGCAGTTCAATAATTTATTCTAATTAATTTATGTATATATGTTAGTAAATACACTAAAACCATTCTACTGTTTGCATTACTGATAAAATTGGCTATTATTAATTATAGTTAAGTATAATTGTAAAAGTATAGTTTAAGTAGAATTGTGTATGAATGATTTAGACTTGGAGACTGTGTGGTATAATGTCAAGAAAGGTTTAGTGGATGCAGCTACCGAAGTATGTGGTGTAAGTAAGAGAACGAATGAAAGTAAAAATAACACATTATGGTGGGATGATGAGGTACGGATGGAAGTTGAAGCAAAGAAGAAAGCATGGCTATATTTACTAGCAACCAAGGCTAGTAATTCTAGCAGTATGAATGATGATATTGAAAGGAAAAAGGCAGTTTTTAGACACCTAAATAAGAGAGTAAAAGAAGTAGTTGAAAGGAAAAAGCAAGAAAGAACGGATAAAAATGATAGAAGAATATCGGATAACTTCCAGGCAAACATTAAAATGTTCTGGAAACTCGTAAGAACTACCAGGGGACATTCACAACAGCCTAGAATGAATGCTATACGAGACCAAAATGGCTGTATTCTGAATGACGAAGTTTTGAGTTTAAGGAGATGGAAGGAATACTTTGAAAGCGTGTTTATGAGTGATGAGACGTTTGAATTAAATGAAATAGAAATTCCGAAAGAAGAGGAAATAGATAGAGATATAAGTATAGATGAAATAATGAAAACAATGAAAAGTATGAAAGCAGGTAAGGCAGCCGGTTATGATAGAGTATCTCTCGAAATGCTAAGGGCTGGAGAAGGAGTGGTGGTAGACCTGCTGTACACCTTGTTTAATTTATGTTGGGAACTTAAGCGGGTACCGGGAGACTGGTGCAAAGCCGTGATAGTCCCAATATATAAGGGAAAAGGATCACAGCAGGACTGTAAAAACTACCGTGGTATCAGCCTTCTTAGCATTGTGGGAAAACTGTATGCTAAGGTACTAATTGAAAGAGTTATGAACGAAACTGACGGAAAAATTTGGGATGTGCAAGCGGGGTTTAGAAAGGGAATGGGATGTACGGATCAGGTCTTTTCCATGCGCATGATCGCCGAGAAGTTTTTGGCCAAAAACCAAAAAGTTTTTTGTGCGTTCATGGACTTGGAGAAGGCTTATGACAGAGTGGACAGGGATGTGTTATGGCAAACACTGAACTCATTTGGGTTGAGCGCTGGTCTGATACAGGCATTGAAGTCTCTATATAGGGACTCTAGTGCTTGTGTTAGGATCAACGGGGCCTACTCGGACTGGTTTGACATCCATAAAGGTGTCAGACAGGGCTGTGTGGCTTCCCCGTGGTTGTTCCACCTATTTATGGACAGTTGTTTGGAAAATATGAAAGTAGAAGAATGCGGGTTAAGAATGGGTGAGTTAACCGTCAAATGCCTTTTGTACGCCGATGATCAAGTCATACTTGCGTCGTCGGCAGCCGAGTTGCAAATGATGGTTACATTAATGAACAGGACATTAAAAGAAAAGGGAATGAAAGTGAACGCAAGTAAGACGAAAGTTATGGTTTTTGAAAGAGAAGAAAGTAAAACGATATGTGAAATAAGAATAGAAGGGGAGTTGGTAGAGCAAGTAGATGAGTTTGTATATTTGGGATGTGTGTTTAGCAGGGATGGTAGATATGATAAGGATATAGAACGACGAGTGAATGCAGGAAATAGAGTGAATGGGGCTCTACACTCTATTGTGAAAAGTCAGAATGTGTCCAAAAAGGCACGTATGGCAATTCACAATGCTGTGTTAGTACCTACTTTAATGTATGGTAGTGAAAGTTGGGTGTGGCAGAAGAAGCATGAGAGTAGAATAAATGCTGTAGAAATGCGGTCATTAAGGAGTATGTTAGGGATGAAGCTGAATGACAGAGTGAGAAATTGTTTAATAAGAGAAGAGTGTGGTTTGCAAGATGATGTTGTGACCAGGATTAAGAAAGGAATGCTTCGGTGGTTTGGCCATGTAGAAAGAATGAATGAGGAAAGAGTGACA